AGAATAAAGTAAATGCTATTTCTTTTTGTAGCAAACAGTTAGAGTAAACAAAAATAAAATGTTTAAATAGTATAAGTTACTGACTAACTGATTGATTGACTGGTTCCAATACAGAACTTTGCACAGATGTGCACCAGTTCCAGTTGTCACACTCCCTCCATGTAGCACACAAACCAAGATAAGACAGTAAAGAAAGATTCACAAGGCAGAGAGATAATAAACAGAAATATGAGGTAAAAAGAGTAGTAATATGGAAAAACAACAGGATTTTATTGGATAGGATAAATCACAAAGAGTGAATGCATCTGCGCCAGCCATCGACAACAAGGAATTTGAGCCATACTACCAATTGTCTCCAGCTGTCATCGGTGTTTACCATCTCGAGGACCCCAACCAGTTAGGAAGTCTACACCTATGTCCTGACGTGGCTGGCTGGCTGGCTTAAAGTAACTGTTGCGGATTTCGTTGACTCATGAAGTCATGTTTTAGTTTGGCCACGACTAGCTGGCTCTTTTCCAACCTGATCCTATGTCAGTCAGCTAACATTGACCTGATTGTCGAGGAAGGCGATGACTAGACATGCATGCGTAACACATGTCCTAACCATATCAATCGATGCAGCTGCTTCACAACCTCGTCGATTGATTTCCCCTCCCATCTGCCTAGCACTTGACCGTTGTCTAACCTCGACATTGCTCACCTTATTAAACCATTTCATACGGGAGATCGAACGCAGACACCTATGATCAAAGACAGCTAGCTAGCCCGCCTTCTCTCGTCTTCCACTTTCAATGGCCATATCTCACTCACAGCGATAAAGGAAGACAAAGCGAACTGCAGCTGAACAGTACACACGCCTTTTGGTCGACAGTTAGCCGGATATCACGTCTACTAGGCTAGAGATGGCGTAAGTTGGCAGGCAAATGCCGAACGAGTCGTCTGTATGCATTCTGAGATTTGGTCAGCGATCAACCTGTTGGGGTTGTCTGATGCAATTCCCCAAATAAGTGAAGTGGTCAACATGCTCCACCAACCATTACACTCCCTCCCTATCTTTGAGCTATGAGTGAGTCAATGTAGTCCCGTCCAGTCCTGTAGCATCATCTTACATTTGACAAGGGGAGCGAATCGCATGCCAAACATTCGAAGATTGCCGCTCAGCTCAAGGTGTTCAGAATACCCTGCTCTATTTTGTCAGCGTCTTCACCTAGAAGGCCAAATATCGCCATAGTACCTCTCAGTCGACGGAAGTATAACTTACGAATGTAGGTATCAAAAGAAGAATACCGCTCAGTGTAGTGAAACTAATAACATAAAAGGTGACTTATAACTGATGTTAATATATATTAATCAACGATTAAATAGCACCTGAACTTTGACATTTGAAGATTAACTTTCGTCAGAAACCGACAACAAGAATTTTCGAAAGAGCATACAGACAACCTTATGGGGAATCAGGTATCAAAAGAATGCCGATAAGCAACCTGTCAATCATGATTTTCGCTTTCTAATAACTCCTTACATGTTTTATACACTAATTCTAGAACAGAAGGTATTGAAGCCTTATACATCCCACTTCTAAAGCAAGAAACAAAAAATACTGTTCCCAAGACATCAACAAGAAAGGCTGAGGTGCCTTGAAAGGAGTCAACACGTTCCACTGCAACACCGAAGGATGAGGACTCAAATTGTCCGAGGGACGGCGACCACCAACCTTCTAGCTCAAAAACCGTAACATGCGCTTCACTAACCGGACTAAGCTTAGACAAAATAAAATTGGTTATACACCTTAATGACTGATCAAAATGTTAGAAACTCTTAATATAATTGTATTAAAAGACTACTCTCTTTCGACATCTCAATGGAACATTTTCGTGTTCCTTTAGCATTATTCTTAGTATATATCCATCGTTTTGAAGACTGTTCTCTCATTATTTATCAATACTTTCACTTTGCTGTTAATGCTCCACTCATTGACCGTACACACAGTTGTAACTATTTCTCACCTATTTTCATTTCTTTTTGTCGAGACAGTGAAATCTCTCATGTAAATAGTGTATAGTGTATCGCTTACGTCTTATGGTTTAGTATTATTATTATTGTTCCCTTGGGTTCCTAGTGGAACGTAAGGCTTCAACTGCACGCCTCCACTTGCTTCTGTCTTCTGCTGTACTTTTCCTCTGCATCCATCTTAATCCATACTGTTTCAACTCCTCTTCACACGATCTCCTCCATGTCACCCTTGCACTGACGTCCCACTCGCCACTTCCCTTTTGGGTTCCACTCAAGGGCCTGACGCGCAGTGTCACCCAACGGCCTCCTCAGCCAGTGAGTGTCCAATCCATCTCCACATTCTCCTGCATATTTGTTGGGCGATTGGTTCTTGTTTTGTTTGTTTGTTCCCATAGTTCCTTGTTGGTGATTCTTTCCGACCATCTGATCTTCAGTATAGAACGAAGGTGGCAGTTGTTGATAAAGGTCTGCAACAGGCTGTTGGAAATATTCTTTGTGATCCGCCAAGTTTCTGATCCATCCGTATAGAAAAACTGACTGACTTGACGTTTGTATTGAAAATCCGAATTTTGTTGTTAACCTCGCCTAGATTACTAGCTTACTAGTTTTCTAGCCGGTCCCAAGCCCGGATAAAGAGGGAGGGTTGGGGCGTGGTGCTAGCAACTCCACCCCCAAAACTTAACCAAACTGCTACAAAAACTTCTTATTGTTCAGTAGTAAGATTGTAATTGTAGCTGGTGAATTCGTAACAAAGCATAACATTATGCTGAATTATTGTAAGGATACAAAAAAAGAAGAAAAGACAATGACTCTTCTGTTATTTCAATAATACTCAGTAATTGCATGCTTCTTTGTGCGTAATGACCCGAAACAAGGTGTAAATAGTAGTTAGTTTAAAAGTACATTCAGTGTGAAAGAATAAAGAAAGCTAGCTAATGATGGAATGGTAGGTGGCAAGCAGAAGTACCCAATGCATTTGGGAAAAAACGATGTGGCGAGGGGGAGATTTTCCCCCCAGAAAATCTCAATTCAGGAGACAGAAAGATTGAGAGAAGAATATACCTTTCGACAGCTACCTAATCTAGTCCCACAGTTATATATATATATATATATATATATGATGTTTAAAGAATAACTGAATTTACCGTCAAGGCGAACTAGTATATCAACAGCTCCGAAGAAGCACTTATTCTTAAAAGTTCTTAAAGTTCTTTGGTGATCATATCACTGAAATAATAACAACACGCCTAAAGAATACATTAGAAGGAGCATTCAATGCAACAGAACTACAAATGTCTTTTCACAATCCCTCCAATTCCACTTTCAGGGAATGAGGATCAACTACCTAATTTCGTCTCCTCTACTACGTGTATCTATCTCTTTGACTGATCCTGTGGAGCTAGTTACATTGAACGGAAAATTAGACATCTTCATCATCGGATTTCTGAACACCATTCCGTATAATTAAGCAGGGGACAAACACGGTCTATTCGAAGCTCTGTTTTAGCTTACTCTTGTAGATGCTGAACATAAATTCAATGTTAACGAGGCATTTAAAGCTACCTGCCGTATTCTAACTAGCCTTAATTTTACCTTTCAAGTTTGTCTTCTACATATATGCCTGAAGAAATTCCTACAGCCGCTTTCTTTACCTACATGTTTGTGAAAATTTGACAATTTCCCCTTACCTCCAAGCCGCCTTTTATTAGTAATTATTGTTATTTTGACTACCTTTAATTGTTGCATTAATTTTCTTTTTAATTCTATCTGATATTCAATGTATGCAGATTATCATTTACACGTGCTTTCGAACTGCAATCTACTGATCTTAACAACCTGAAGTATCATTTTATAAACATGTGTTGCCAATAACAATTGCTCTCTAAACAATAGGCGTATAAAATTGTAGAACCTGATGAAGAAGTTATTGAAAAGAATATTCCTTTCTCAATCTCTTTCCTCTTCTAAATGTCTAAATGGCAATTTTCGCTATATTGAAATCTCAGTTTTAAGGTTTTTTAGATTCGTTGCGATTGGATGGAAAAACGCAACGAGATGGATGTTCAATGGTTTCATGGTTTTCAATGTTTCTCTCAGTGATGTCGCTATCTAATGAAATTCACAGTGACAACAGTACTTCCTAATGTCCGCTCCGAAACTATCAGCAGTTCATAAACTTTTCAGTTAGTGACAAAAAAGTCACAACTTAATGTTGTCCTCTATAACGGTTACTTCATTTGCGACATATTTCATACAAATAAGCGTATCTGTCCAACAGATGCAGATGAATGCAGCTTCGATGAATTACAGCAAAATACTAAATAAACAGGCATGTTGTCATCTAGTGGATGGTGACTAGCAATGGAATACAGAATGAAAATTTCGTCCTCTTTGGGACTCGCCACCTGGATGGACCTGTATTCCCAATGAGTAAAGGTGTTCTCACCGAGGCTCGAACCTTGAATCAATCATTTCAAACGCCAAAATGGTCCAACGACTGCTGATGGGATCGAGTCCCAGAGGAAATATCATCACTCATTGAGGACTGAGGATACATCCAGATGACGAGCCCCAAACAGGATGAAATGCACACTTTGGATCCCACAGCTAGTCATTATCAAACAAAATAACATCATGTTATAATCCTCAGATATACGTATTAGGAGTCGATACGCCAATGGAGACCGCGAGTTTCGGTCCAATATAATCAATCAACGGGAAATGTACATTAACCTAAAAAGAATTAATACCTGTCATAATCGTTAACAGATATTACGCTACACTTGTTGCCCTAACAGTCGATGTAATGAACGCTCTAACACCTGGCTTCAACATAACTATCAAAACCACTGAGCAAGTGACAGTTCAGGAACAAAAAACAGTGTTTGGAGAAATGAACCAATAAAGAATTATTATTATCATTATTATTATTATTGATTAAAAATCTATTAAATAATCTAAGTAAGAGTAAGTAGTTAGTTAGTTACCTTATGTTTTTGTAAAAAATCATTAGTTATAGACCAAGGTGCATCATTTATAACCTCGTCTACATACCGACAATGCCGAATAGCTTCATAACGCTCTTTTTCATTCATAACTGTTCTACCTTTGTAATGATGTACATCGGCATCATTAGAGACTGTAGTAAAAAAAAGAAAAAAAAAAACGGGGGATAGAATATATTAGGAGAAAATCAGGCAACAGAGGAAGCATTGGTCGCTTAAAGAAAATAGCATATATTTTGATTCACTGTAACGAGTGAAAAACACCCTTGATTTGTATATGATCCTACCAGGGTTGCTTTAGGAAGACTATGTCATACTTCGTAGAACTCTAAAGATTGTCAGAAGGGTGAGTGGTGGTGTCCCGTTGGGCCATATCATTGACATCGTCTTATTGATAGGCACTTAATTTTAAGCAACAAATTTGCTAAAGGAATTTTGTCATACTGTGAGCACCCACTGTACCCGCAGCTCCAACCTTGTGTCTCCTCAGGTAAAACAAGAAGTCATTTCAAAATACTAGGCGTGCACGTATATGTATAAAAATTCCACGATACCATATTTGGTAAGTGTTTTATTTGATGAAAATAGTGTCAGACATGAACTAAGTAACCTTCTTCCCACCAGTAAATAAACGATTTTCTCCATCCTCATTCTATCAAGTCCCACTGTTATTATTCCTATTACATTAAAAGTCCCCTTGTTGTGTTTATTCGATCCTCATGATTGTAAACACTAATTAAGCTCTGTAATAATTGTTATTTTTTGTTTTTCCCTTCACGATGCAATATTAAGAGAGAACATTAGATTCGATACTCTATGACATGCTAAAAATTTCCATACTGTATCGACAAACCCACTGTTATTTTATCATTAAAATTATTATTCTCATTTTGTACTTTGCAAAGCTTCACTTTATCCCTACTGTAAGTGTGGACAAATCCCTGTAGTTAATTTTATTTATATTTTGAGTAAATTAGATGCAATATGTAACAATATCTGCTGAGAATTCCCTACTGTATTATACGTACTCTTTGTGGAATAAAGCAGATTATTAAAATTCGCTTCATAGTTGTTAAATATGAAACAATAAGATGAATAATTTAATTAAATCGACACTTTGAGATATCAAAAAAGTAGGATTATCGAAGAAACTATATATTTGGTGCTTGCCCCTGTGTTGACACTAGAATTCGCAAGACTGTCTTCCAGTACAATATTTGGACCCAAGTGAATAGCTTCAGGGTTATCTCCTCCATTGTTTATACTTAAGTTTAGGTTGATTAACAGACTGAAAGCTGCTACCTTGACGTGGTGGTCGGGCTTGAACACCGCAATAACCCAACAAGCTATACTGGCTGAGACTTATGTCGCTTGAGGTCCTACCATGCCAGAAAGGTTGTTTGGATAGTGGTTAGACAAAAAGTAGTTACCCAATCCAATGCTATGACTCAAACAAAACCACGAAATATCATGCCGGATCGGTCGGGGCCCGAATTAACAACGACCGCGCTTCCTCCTGCCATGTCACAGAGCAGAAGTGATAAATACGCTACTGAGACACACCAAATGAAAAAGAACTAACAAAAACAGGCCACGTGTGACCGGCCTCAAGCAGTTGTCCCCTGGGCTCTGCGGTCACGCAACCAACTTCCACGGTGTGGGCAGCCGGGAAGTAACAATCGCCCTCACAATCCGAAATACACGCGAAACCTCTCTAACCCGCAATCCGAAATGAATAACAGACAGTCCTAGCCAATCTGGACTCTGGAATCATCTGATTTTAAACACCTTCATGCACAGTGCTGAAGACTTCACTTAATGGTTATACTACCTAACAATATTATATCGTGTTGTTTAGACAAAATCAATCAGAGTAAACCCTAAACCGATGATGATCCATTAATCCGATTGGTGAATGATAAAATGGAGTAAAGACTAAATCGTACAGCAACTGTAATAGGATAACTTTGAATTATTATTATTATTATTATTATTATTATTATTATTATTATTATTATTATTATTTAGAATGTTAACTTTGCAAATAAAAAAAACTTACCACCTACGATTAGGTAAGTATTTGGAAAGGCACATTTAGCTTGCATTAATTGACGAGCATGACCAGAATGAAACATATCATAGGCTCCGTCGGCATATACACGAACTGGTCTAGGCGCTAAGATAAAAATTTAACACAATAGAAATGAGGTGATTAAAACCATAAGCGTTTCTAAAATATAAAAAGGCATGGTATGTGCTTTGCACCGTCTAAGTGCAAAGTACTGTTACAAGATTGGCAGGAGCCTGTACCTGCACTCACTCTTGCGGGTGAACCGTTTGAAGTTGTTGATAAGTTTGTCTATCTGGGTAGTTGTGTGAGTGCTGGCAGAGGGGTGACGGATGAGATTTCTAACCGTATAATGAAGGCTAGGGTGGCGTAAATCAATTTGAGCCACCTCTGGCGCCGTCGCGACGTTAGCCTGGCTGTCAAAGGTCGGGTATACAATGCTTCGGTGCGGACTGTCTTGCTCTACGCCTAGGAAACCTGGCCTCTCCGAGCTGAGGATGTGAGGCGACTCTGCATGTTCGATCATCGCTGTCTCCGATGGATAGCTTGCGTTCGATGGCATCATCGCGTGAGTTATTCTGAGGTTCGGCGGTGTGTGTTTGAACACAGTGGAGATCACCATTCATTGAGTGTCGTCATCTGAAAATACCGGCTCCAGTGGCTTGGACATGTGCTGCGAATGTCATCCCAGAGACTTCCGTACAGGTCTCTGTTCGCTAGCCCTGGGACGGGATGGAAAAGGCAGAGGGGTAGTCAGTCCATGACGTGGCGTCGTGGGATGAAGGATATTTGTGCTAGATTAGCATCGGTTGGTGCGTCACGACTCCCTGGTTGGGGTCCGCGAGATAGGTCGAATCGATGGCTCGAAACGTTATCGGATATGGCCAAGAATCGTAATCAATGGCGAACGTGTTGCAATTTCCTTCTTTCTTCCCTTCCTGATGATAGTTAACGAATACTGTTTGGACTTGTTAAACATGACTGTTTTCCTTCCTGATGAAGTTCTTTATCCGTTTTCTACTTATATTTTTACTTTTAATCTATGTTGTTTTATTATTATTGTGTGGCGCATCTCTCTTGGTACCATATTGTACCAAGTTTTTCTGCGTTTAAATAAATAATTAAATAAATAAAATCTTGATACATTAGAAACGCCACGTTTTACTTATACACAACAACGTTAAGCAAAAGAGGCACAAGTGGAAAATTAGGATTACATCTTAACCATAAAGTTGAACTTAACATTACAATAATAAATATTCCGTAAGAATAAAAAACGAAATCAGTCTAAGTGTGCATAACTTATTCTGTAAAAACGTTTATTTAGATATTTATTTATTTATTTATAACAGTCTCCCTCATAGTTGATATAAACTTCACAAATAAGTTATGTGTAAAAGAAGTTAGACGAGAGGAGACTCTTGAGACCATGACTGATTTTTCAACGCGGAACTTTGCACAAAAGTGTAGCACTTCAAACTGTGTTACACTTCATAAAGCATACGAAGATAGAGAAAAGAGTGAAAAAGGTGATTCAAAGGAAACCTGGCCTCTCCGAGCTGAGGATGTGAGGCGACTCTGCATGTTCGATCATCGCTGTCTCCGATGGATAGCTTGCGTTCGATGGCATCATCGCGTGAGTTATTCTGAGGTTCGGCGGTGTGTGTTTGAACACAGTGGAGATCACCATTCATTGAGTGTCGTCATCTGAAAATACCGGCTCCAGTGGCTTGGACATGTGCTGCGAATGTCATCCCAGAGACTTCCGTACAGGTCTCTGTTCGCTAGCCCTGGGACGGGATGGAAAAGGCAGAGGGGTAGTCAGTCCATGACGTGGCGTCGTGGGATGAAGGATATTTGTGCTAGATTAGCATCGGTTGGTGCGTCACGACTCCCTGGTTGGGGTCCGCGAGATAGGTCGAATCGATGGCTCGAAACGTTATCGGATATGGCCAAGAATCGTAATCAATGGCGAACGTGTTGCAATTTCCTTCTTTCTTCCCTTCCTGATGATAGTTAACGAATACTGTTTGGACTTGTTAAACATGACTGTTTTCCTTCCTGATGAAGTTCTTTATCCGTTTTCTACTTATATTTTTACTTTTAATCTATGTTGTTTTATTATTATTGTGTGGCGCATCTCTCTTGGTACCATATTGTACCAAGTTTTTCTGCGTTTAAATAAATAATTAAATAAATAAAATCTTGATACATTAGAAACGCCACGTTTTACTTATACACAACAACGTTAAGCAAAAGAGGCACAAGTGGAAAATTAGGATTACATCTTAACCATAAAGTTGAACTTAACATTACAATAATAAATATTCCGTAAGAATAAAAAACGAAATCAGTCTAAGTGTGCATAACTTATTCTGTAAAAACGTTTATTTAGATATTTATTTATTTATTTATAACAGTCTCCCTCATAGTTGATATAAACTTCACAAATAAGTTATGTGTAAAAGAAGTTAGACGAGAGGAGACTCTTGAGACCATGACTGATTTTTCAACGCGGAACTTTGCACAAAAGTGTAGCACTTCAAACTGTGTTACACTTCATAAAGCATACGAAGATAGAGAAAAGAGTGAAAAAGGTGATTCAAAGGAAACCTGGCCTCTCCGAGCTGAGGATGTGAGGCGACTCTGCATGTTCGATCATCGCTGTCTCCGATGGATAGCTTGCGTTCGATGGCATCATCGCGTGAGTTATTCTGAGGTTCGGCGGTGTGTGTTTGAACACAGTGGAGATCACCATTCATTGAGTGTCGTCATCTGAAAATACCGGCTCCAGTGGCTTGGACATGTGCTGCGAATGTCATCCCAGAGACTTCCGTACAGGTCTCTGTTCGCTAGCCCTGGGACGGGATGGAAAAGGCAGAGGGGTAGTCAGTCCATGACGTGGCGTCGTGGGATGAAGGATATTTGTGCTAGATTAGCATCGGTTGGTGCGTCACGACTCCCTGGTTGGGGTCCGCGAGATAGGTCGAATCGATGGCTCGAAACGTTATCGGATATGGCCAAGAATCGTAATCAATGGCGAACGTGTTGCAATTTCCTTCTTTCTTCCCTTCCTGATGATAGTTAACGAATACTGTTTGGACTTGTTAAACATGACTGTTTTCCTTCCTGATGAAGTTCTTTATCCGTTTTCTACTTATATTTTTACTTTTAATCTATGTTGTTTTATTATTATTGTGTGGCGCATCTCTCTTGGTACCATATTGTACCAAGTTTTTCTGCGTTTAAATAAATAATTAAATAAATAAAATCTTGATACATTAGAAACGCCACGTTTTACTTATACACAACAACGTTAAGCAAAAGAGGCACAAGTGGAAAATTAGGATTACATCTTAACCATAAAGTTGAACTTAACATTACAATAATAAATATTCCGTAAGAATAAAAAACGAAATCAGTCTAAGTGTGCATAACTTATTCTGTAAAAACGTTTATTTAGATATTTATTTATTTATTTATAACAGTCTCCCTCATAGTTGATATAAACTTCACAAATAAGTTATGTGTAAAAGAAGTTAGACGAGAGGAGACTCTTGAGACCATGACTGATTTTTCAACGCGGAACTTTGCACAAAAGTGTAGCACTTCAAACTGTGTTACACTTCATAAAGCATACGAAGATAGAGAAAAGAGTGAAAAAGGTGATTCAAAGGAAACCTGGCCTCTCCGAGCTGAGGATGTGAGGCGACTCTGCATGTTCGATCATCGCTGTCTCCGATGGATAGCTTGCGTTCGATGGCATCATCGCGTGAGTTATTCTGAGGTTCGGCGGTGTGTGTTTGAACACAGTGGAGATCACCATTCATTGAGTGTCGTCATCTGAAAATACCGGCTCCAGTGGCTTGGACATGTGCTGCGAATGTCATCCCAGAGACTTCCGTACAGGTCTCTGTTCGCTAGCCCTGGGACGGGATGGAAAAGGCAGAGGGGTAGTCAGTCCATGACGTGGCGTCGTGGGATGAAGGATATTTGTGCTAGATTAGCATCGGTTGGTGCGTCACGACTCCCTGGTTGGGGTCCGCGAGATAGGTCGAATCGATGGCTCGAAACGTTATCGGATATGGCCAAGAATCGTAATCAATGGCGAACGTGTTGCAATTTCCTTCTTTCTTCCCTTCCTGATGATAGTTAACGAATACTGTTTGGACTTGTTAAACATGACTGTTTTCCTTCCTGATGAAGTTCTTTATCCGTTTTCTACTTATATTTTTACTTTTAATCTATGTTGTTTTATTATTATTGTGTGGCGCATCTCTCTTGGTACCATATTGTACCAAGTTTTTCTGCGTTTAAATAAATAATTAAATAAATAAAATCTTGATACATTAGAAACGCCACGTTTTACTTATACACAACAACGTTAAGCAAAAGAGGCACAAGTGGAAAATTAGGATTACATCTTAACCATAAAGTTGAACTTAACATTACAATAATAAATATTCCGTAAGAATAAAAAACGAAATCAGTCTAAGTGTGCATAACTTATTCTGTAAAAACGTTTATTTAGATATTTATTTATTTATTTATAACAGTCTCCCTCATAGTTGATATAAACTTCACAAATAAGTTATGTGTAAAAGAAGTTAGACGAGAGGAGACTCTTGAGACCATGACTGATTTTTCAACGCGGAACTTTGCACAAAAGTGTAGCACTTCAAACTGTGTTACACTTCATAAAGCATACGAAGATAGAGAAAAGAGTGAAAAAGGTGATTCAAAGGAAACCTGGCCTCTCCGAGCTGAGGATGTGAGGCGACTCTGCATGTTCGATCATCGCTGTCTCCGATGGATAGCTTGCGTTCGATGGCATCATCGCGTGAGTTATTCTGAGGTTCGGCGGTGTGTGTTTGAACACAGTGGAGATCACCATTCATTGAGTGTCGTCATCTGAAAATACCGGCTCCAGTGGCTTGGACATGTGCTGCGAATGTCATCCCAGAGACTTCCGTACAGGTCTCTGTTCGCTAGCCCTGGGACGGGATGGAAAAGGCAGAGGGGTAGTCAGTCCATGACGTGGCGTCGTGGGATGAAGGATATTTGTGCTAGATTAGCATCGGTTGGTGCGTCACGACTCCCTGGTTGGG